TTTTGGAAGGAAAATTGGAAGGATCTTGAAGCAGTGATTTGCTCGTCAGTAGAGTCCTTTTTCTATTTACTATTTTTTAATTTAGTTTGCTCGTCAGTAAAGTCCCTTCTCTATTTACTGTCTTGTATTTTGCTCGTCAGTATAGTTAATTTTTTATGAAATGTCTTGTACTTTATTTTGCTCGCCGGAAGAATTCCTTTTCAATTTAATGTTTTTAATTCAGTTTGCTCGTCAGTAGAATTCCATTTATATTTACTATCTTCTATTTCAGCTCGTCAGTAGAGTCGCTTTTTTATTCTATAAGCCAAAAAAATATATAAGCCAAAATTATTATTTTTTTGATGTGATAATAATTAAAAACATTTGTTTACGTTCGTTAATACATTAATGAAACAAGATTCAGGAAGTCTTCTAGCAATAAGTTAATTATTAAATTAAAAGAGTATTAAAAGAGTGTTTAAAACTAAACAAAAGAGTTTTAGACTTTTTGAGTTATGAATATATCGATTCATAATTTTGAACAATTATCGAAAAAATAAGTTATTATCAAAAATTATTTTGCCTTACCTTGTGCATTCAAAATACTCAAACAAGTATCTTGTGGCTTAAGACACACTTCCTTGGCATCATCTTTAGCATTGCAAACCCTGCGATTCCTTGGGAAAACACCAACATTACAAAGGTTACTCTATTTCTCGATTTTGAAAAAAAAAGAAATTTAATAATTAATTGTACAGGCAGTACTGCACAGCGTGCGTTATGAGTTGTAAAAAATATATAACTTATAATCAGTACAGCACACGAGAGTTATAAATGAAAAAAATGACATAATATTAGTAAAAACTTATCAAATAAACCAACATTTTTCCTTCAATGCAGCTCTGAGATCGGACGAAGACTTTGAAATCTGTCGCGATCATTAGTCGACTGGAAACCCGTTCGACGAAAGTCGGATCCAAAAAAAGTCCAGATGAGACGACCCAATCAGATTCTGCTCTGACGGCAGAAGCAATTGATTGATCATCATTTGAACAAAATGAAACCCAACAAAAAATTGACTTGACACTCAGGATATTACTGAGTGCAATGAAACAGCTGTTAGGTCGTTATTTCATAATCGACCTTGCAATATTTCGAAGAGTGCGGTATGCATCAATGCCGTATGCATTTATGTTTGGCGCCATCTCGTTATGTTTAATAATAACTGGCAGAATGACTAGAATTTCACCGGGTATAAGATTGTTTATGATGATACCCCTAATGAAAGTTGTAATGGACTAGCGGGTTAAAAGGATCTGGTTGAAAATGTCAGCGTAGCACATGAAACTTAAAGAAAAGAGGTATTTGTTTCATAAGTTCAGTGAAATTTACCCATACGTTTCTTTAATCAAAATGTAACAATTATATATTAATTAATATTATTATTGTATCACTATTTGAAATAAATAATTAGGTACGGTGCAAATAATTTTTGGTCAAAAAAATTTAGGGAAAAAAATTTTTGGACAAAAAAATTTAGTAAATAATTTTTGGTCAAAAAAATTTAGGTCCAAAAAATATTTTGGTCAAAAAAATTTTTGGTCAAAAAAATTTTGGTCAAAAAAATTTTGGTCCAAAAAATTTTGGTTCAAAAAATTTCGGGAAAAAAAATTTTTAGAAAAAAAAATTTTGGTCAAAACAATGTTTGGACAGAAAAATTTTTGGTCAAAAAAATTTTGGAAAAAAAAATTTTTGGAAAAAAAAATTGGTCAAAAAAATTTTTGGAAAAAAATTTTTGACCAAAAAAATTTTGGTCGGGAAAGTCCGGCATATGCCACGATCGCCCATTTCACGCTGCGATCGCTAGTCGTCTCTGGACCCGGTCTTCCAAAGTCGACGAACGCGAACGCTTCTCACTCACTCACACGTACTCAAACACACAACACACAAAACTGACATTTATTTTATGCGCAATTTCGATATAAATTAAATACTACTTGAAATATATAAATAATAGTTGTGATAAATTAAGATAAATATCATAGTTTGGCGTTTTTACTTATTTTAATTACAATTAAGGACGGCGCCGATGATTTTTAAGATTCAATTTCCCGACGTTTCAAGTCTTTACAATAATGTTCCTGCCTTCTGCTTCCGATTGTCCGCAATCACAAAAATCAAGTACGGAAGTCAAATGGGAATCTGCTCTAAAGGATCTTGAGGCAGTAATTTGCTCGTCAGTAGAGTCCTTTTTCTATTTACTATTTTTTAATTTAGTTTGTTCGTCAGTAAACTCCCTTCTCTATTTACTGTCTTGTATTTTTCTCGTCAGTCGAGTTAATTTTTTATGAAATGTCTTGTACTTTATTTTGCTCGCCAGAAGAATCCCTTTTCAATTTAATGTTCGAATCGATTCGTTATAGGAACTTTTGCGTTAATCAAAAATTATCGTATAAAAACAAATTTGAAAAGCGCTTGCAATCCAAAATAAACTTCTCCAAAATCATTTTAAGTGAATCAGTTATTAACAAATGGTTAAAAAATCTCTCCAATGTAACTATCCCAGACAGGTTTTTATACATCTTTGCCTTTGCCTTTTGCTTTCCCCAATTCGTGTTACAACATCAACGTCATTAAAATTCTCAATCGCTTAGAAGCAGGCCTTTATAATATTAAAAACGCTGACCTAAAAATGAATACAAAGGCTACATTTTGCAGAAACTTCATTTCCGCTATCAAATCCTTTAACTCAAAGAAAAATATAGAGTACAAAGACATCTTGAGAGATATTAGAGATTGCAAAATCTTTTTAAAAAATAATCCTGATTTGTCAGTAACGAGAGCCGATAAAGGTAACGTCACAGTTATTGTAGATAGACACACATATCTGGAAAAAGCCTCAAGTTTAGTATCTGATCCTAATACTTACACTCCAATTATTTCTGATCCGACGGAACGCATTAACCGTTCTCTTCACAAATTAATCAACAACCTAGTGTCCAATAAACAAATTTCAAAAGACCTTTCAACCTCTTTAAAAAATTTACATCCCTATAATCTTATTATGGTCTCCCTAAAATTCATAAACAAGACGTTCCTTTCAGACCCATATTCGCTGACATAAATTCTCCTCTGTCCAAATTCTCAAAATTTCTAAGCAATATACTCTCCATCATAACTGTCCAATCCCCTCATTTCATAAAAAATTCCTTTGAATTTGTAAATAAATTAAACGGCTTAGTCTTACCCCACGAAGCTCTATTATTAATTACTTTTTTTTTATTTTTTATAAAAAAGAAATTACTGACATTTGGTGCTTGTTTCTAATTACTAATTTTTACAAGCTGTATTAATATGTGTAAGTGATAATCTAAGAATTTCAAGTAAGTAATGTTTTATGCATTTTTTAATTTTCTGTTTTTTTTTTAATTGTGGAACCACTGACGATGACGTAGATTTTTACGTCGAAACGTATGGAAAAATAAAGATGTTTTAAAAAATCTTCACCTTACTTATATTTTTTACTTGATGTTACGCCCTTCAAGAAATCAATCATACATTTTAACATCAAATTTAAACACTTCCAACATATATATATACAAATATATATATATATATATATATATATATATATATATATATATTGTATATATATATGTTGGAAGTGTTTAAATTTATATATATATATATATATATATATATATATGTACTAAGTTTTATCTGGATAGCTATTATTCATTATGATTGCAAGTAAAAGCTGCATTTTGACAAACAAATTATTTAAATTTGCAATTATTTTATTCAATGTTTAGGTGATATCTCCTAATCGGGGATGTCTCCTACTTCAGAAACTTTTGATAACAAATAAAATAATTTTTATTACACATTCATACGTTTATTAAATTATTTTAAAATTGAAATAAACATTTTCAACTTAATAACTAAATATGTGTTTCATATTTTAAGAATGTTTGAAAATGCATGCTCAACCTATTGATGACTGTGATACCAAAATTTAACATTTAATTTTTTAACAAATCTCATTTTATTATTATGTATATTTATTTTAGTCTAAACGATAAAACTTTTCATGATGATAATGATCATGCTAAACCAATTTCAAAAATTTAAAAGCCATCTGATAGGTATTGGCTAAACTCGCGTTGGATAGTTTTATGAGACGATTGACACATCTTGGGAAGTTTTTGCAGCATGTCTCAAGGCATAAATCTACTCACACCTAGTTAAATCAAAAACTGCGGGTATGTATATAGTTACAGTTTTTCAAGGTACACATTAAGATAAGACAATACACAACTAAATAAACATATTGGATGATTAAATATTATTCAACGACATATGAAGAACAATTATTGCATTTCCCATGAACAAAATAAGTTTCTGTGAAAGCACATTTTGTGTAGTTGGAACGACTAATTTAAATATGATAGCTATCTTTAAATTGGTGTATAAAAGCCCATAGATATAAAGATATTTTTCATGTATGTTCAAAATTACAATTTTTTTTATAAAATAATTTATGTAACATAACTTTCAAAAAAAACGAAATGTATATACTATTAAAATTCATAATTACATAACAATTTGAGACCAAAGTTAAAAATTTGTCTTAACCCCTTAACGCACAGTTTGTTGGAAAAAAACCCGGCCAGCGCTCGAATTAACTCGTGCGTGCAAGTTAAGGGGTTAATATATATATATATATATATATATATATATATATATTCTGCCATGCCAATATTTTACATGACATATATATATATATATATATATATATATATATATATATATATATATATATGATAAAATAAAGACCTAGACAGGAACAAACATGTGTAAGTGTAGCCTAGATATTAATTTAGAACTAATTTAACTGCTTAGTAAACTTCTTAATTAAATTTCAATTTGAATCTAGAATCAGTCATATCAAATATTGCAAATAAATCTGCATTAAAAATAGCAATTAAAACTTTAATTAAATAAATAATAATTTAAATTAATTATTGCATCAAATAGTCATTAACACTTTCACGTTGATAATTTGTAATTGAATCTAAAATCCAAGTTGGAGTTACACAAAGACAATTTTTATGAATCTCACCTACAATAATATCAGCATTTTTAACATTGGCCGAAATTTTACCAGAACATAATAAAACCAGCTCTTGCAAATCTTGCCATGGCGGAGAACATTTCTTACTTAGATAGATCGATCCTGATGTCGCAAATATGTCCAACTTGAATAAATCTCCAAATGCATGTCTCTCTATTCTAGCTTTCTGCAAAGTAAAATTAAATCTATATCATGTAGTTGTCAATGTATTTTATTATTTACTGAATATAGAAATTTAAAATATTAGTTATTTGTAAAATAGTTTTTCATTTCATACATTTTGAACAATTTACAATAAAAACAACAGTTTACCATTTAGTATATGATAATAAAGAAATCATTTCACAGCTTATATTTAATATAAAATTTAACTAGTGGTGTATGGCAACGTACTTTAAGGCAAATTGCTGGAACTCCCGGAACAGTAACGAAATGTTCGAGGAATACTGAATGTTTTCAAATAGATTATTATAAATACTGTAACAATTGTCTAATATTTATAAGTATTATATAAACTGAATTGCAATGTTGAAATTATTTGTTTAAAGTATATTAGAACAGAATTAAAATTAAAATCTGAGTTATTTTCGACATACAAGAAAAAAATTGAAAAAAAAAATTTTTTTTTGAAAAAAAAATTAGAAACAAAAAAATTGTTTTCCAAAAGCAATTATTTTGTTGAAACTAATAGAAAGTGATTTTAATAATTCAAATCGGACGCTTAATTCTCTTAAAAACTGCTATTTTTTGCACATTTAGCTCTGTAATTTCGAAATGGCTGGACCTGCCTTTGCTAAAAACTAATCACCTCTTCTCGCAATCACTACAAATTGAATGTTTTTTAGATCATTCAAATCTGATACATCGTTCTCTCAAAAACTCGATTTGTATTTTCTGCACTCTTTGTTCCGTATCTCCGTAACGGCTAGACATGCTATTGCCAAAAACTAATCAGCACATTTCCCTATCAATAGGAATCGAATGTTTTTTGAACCATTCGAATCGGTTGATCCGTGCGCCCGAATAGACAAAACACAAACACGCGCACACACACACATCCATTTTTTCTGAGGTATGCCAAAATGTTCAGAAACCTTCAAAACGTGGAGAAATGCAAAAATTTTCATTTTCGATTTTCGGCGCATACTATAACTACCCTACGGAAAGTTGAAAATGAACATAAAATTAAGTAGGTGGAAGTGGCATTTTACTTTGAGGAAAGTTTCATGTTTAGGAAACCATGCCAGACAGGTACAATCGAATTATTCAAAAAGAATTGAGATATAGCTATTTTCAAGTGCAACATGTAATCAAAGCAAGTCCTAATCGACATTTTTCGAACGGAGGATTTGTATTAATTATTTATAGTGCACAAACACGTGCTTGTATGCTCTAAAAGTACTGCCCATTATTACAAACTCATAAATTTATATGATTTAACCACATTTTCCAGGACTATAATATTTCAGAATGTTCTTTTTTGTCATATAATATGTCGCCCTTTTAAGTTTCGTCAAAAACGACAAAAAAATATTTAATATTATAAATATTACAAATTATATCTTCTGAACATTTCTATAAATTTTCAAAACTTTAATAAATTTTACACTTTTCTACAAATTATAAATAAACGGCTCAGCCGATCGTCTCACGAAATTAATCAAAGCGAGTTTTTATCATGGTTTTTAAATATTTGAAATAGTCTCATCAGTTTTTTATGAAACATCAATAAAAGATCAAATTTCGGTTTACGTACAAACAATATTTTTACCAACTGATATCAAACAAAAATATAAATTTCTTGAAAACGTATTGTAAATATATACTCACTTGCACAGATGGTGAGAAACTTGTCCATTCATAAGGATCTTCAGATAACCATTTGCACGCTATTTCTGATTTTAAAACCTGTTCAAAAAATATAATTATATGAGACTATATTAAAATGAGATTAATAGACATATTAAATATATACATAACTAGTGGTACATGGCATCGTGCCTTAAGGCAAATTGCTGAAACTTCCCGTACCAAAAATTAGAATTGTTCAAATGTCAATCGCGCGTAGCCTTTTTAAAGAGGAAATATCAAAGCGCGTAAGCGCTGCGTTGCAGTATAAAGGATAAATATTGATACAAAACCCATAGAAACATGAATAAAAAATGTACTTCTTATTAAAATCTCTATAAAATATCTGATAATTTAAATGCCTAATGGCAGTTTGTTTGCTATTTTTTTTTATTGGATGTCCGGAACCACTGGACTGCATTACCAAAAATTTAATCAGTTCTTTATTTTGTCAATACAAGTAACACATTTTCAAAATTTTTGAAATCGGGCGCTCCGTTTTCTCAAAAACTGCTTTACCATTTTTGGCACAACGAAACAGGTAAACCTGCCTTGATCAAAAGCTAATCAGCACATTTCCTTATCATTAGGAATCAAATATTTTTTCATGCATTCAAATGTTTTGATTTTCGCTTTTTTGCGACAAAGTTATAGTACTTTGCTTTTAAATTATATAAATCAGTTTTGATAAAACGTCGACGAAAGATAAAAAATTGGCTCACATACACACATACTTTTTCCAAATTTAGTTTCAATCACTTCAGAATGACTTGAAAAGTCAAGAAAACAAACATACATAAATCGGATTTTCTTGCTAAATAAAAATTTTGCTTTGTTAAATTATTAATACTATATATAAAAATGCGTACCCAGTCCAAATTCACTATCCAGCAACCTCGTACAATTCCTTTCAGTAGATTTAAAGTTCGTCTCGGTTCAGGAGAAACAACGTGAGTTGTGCTTGCAGTCACATTTTTACTAATAACATAATTACCTAATTTATTTATAACTCTCTTTACAATCTCTGATTGATTTGAATGCACACTTGTACAAACAATATTTGGAGTTTCTTTTTGACTACTCTTTAATGCAGCCTTTTCTCTTAATTCTTCTCTGCTTGGTTTATCTTGAAACTCCAAAGAACTTCGTCTAGGCGGCTTGATTTTACTCATATTATTTAACATGGAATCACTAATAGTTTGAGATGCGGCAGAATTAGTATCAGCAAAAAAGTACGATGTAATTGCACGGTTTGATTTAGGTTTTTCTTTTACTATTTGCCTTGATTTTCTAGTAGTTTTTAATTTTCTTTGTATTTGTTTAGCTTTATTCTCATTATTGTACAAATTCAAATATAAATTCATAGTGTTGTTTTTAGATGTATCTGTGCAAATTGAGCTGTTTACCATGGATATATCAGAAAAGCTTGCGTTCATATCATATAATTTGCGCTTTCCAATAATTCTTGAGGTTGGTAATTCTTTATCTTGTTTCTTTTTGGATATATGATTATCTACACACTTAAGATAAGATGGTGTATCCATAGTATCACAAACACTAAAATTAAGATTACTTTCTTCGAGAGACTCAATTTCTAGAATTCTCTGCATTCTTGGTGTAAGTACGACTTCTGCATCTTCTACAATATTTTCTTTATCATCTCCATTAACATTAATTGATTTATCTGTAGTATGAGGTGTTGATACATTATTACTGGCTAACATTGATGACATGCGCCTTTGAATTAATGCTCTAGGAGGTGTATTAAAAACATTCATTGTTTTGTTAGTTGTAAGATCTAATTTGGTATTATTAAGATCATTCCTGTTATTGATATTTTTTTCAGAACTGCCTCTGGATGATTCTGAAACTATAATAATCTCTTTATTTTTATGAGATTCCTTTGGTGTTTCTGATAAATGCAATTCTTCTTGTATTGAACTAATTTCTGATATAACAAAGCTGCTGCCGTTACTACATGCAGACTTTGCTAATTCCACAATATTTTTATGATTATTACTTGTTGAATTGTCTAAATTAGACCTTGTGGAGACTAGTGAAGCAATTCGTACAGACCTTCGCCTTTGAGATGTAGCCCTAGATGGTGTGTTTAAAATACTATCAGCTTTATCATTTACATTATTTAATTCAGCATTATTATCAGATTCTTTGTCATTAGAAGTCTTTGACAGCATTCTCTTGATGATTCTGAGATTATAATATTTTCTTCATATTTATCACTTTCTATGGGCGTTTCTGATAAATGCAAATTTAAATTACTTTGATTTGGCCCTTTACTTACAGTTTCAAGTGAAATAGAACTATTCATCGATTTTGATATTGTATTAACCTTTGTGCTTGATTTTGTGTCTTTAGAACCATTCAACAAACTTTCATTTGTTACATTTGTTGATTTTGAACTTTCCGATATGGACAATTGTAATTTCAATGATTCATTACTTTCTGAAAGATCAGAGCAATTCGGAACAATTAGATGTGGTATAATAAATGTTCTTCGTTTTTTCCTTATTGGAGATTGGGTTCCAAAAACAACCTCCCCACTGTAAAAGCTATCAGATGATGTCACAGTTTTTGGGTTCTGTACTTCCTTTGTAGTATCGATTCTATCAGAGCATTTTTCAGTACTTATTTCATTTGAAACAGCAATTTTTGACAACATATCACTTATTTTGTTAGTGGAAATGTCAGAAGGTTCCTGATTTGAATTACTTGCTGGTTTACTCTTGTCCCAAACTCGAGTTGCAATAAATCTGTAAAATAATTTCAGTGAAAATATAAAACAAAGTTTAAATGCATATCAAAATAAATAAAATTACAAAACAATTTAGTTTATGATACAAAGCATTTATACAAAATAAAATATTCTAGTCTGTTGTCTATGTACTTTGTTTACTTTACAATAATTGAAAAACTTAGTAGTAGTAATGAACAATATGGTGCAATTATAAAAATTGTTAGATGTTGTTGTGGTAAGATAAAATGACACTAGTGGTGTATGGCATTGTTCCAGGAAAATTGCTGAACTTCCAGTACCAAAAATTAAATTTTTTGAAAAAATTTAAAATTGTTTTAAACATTGAAAGAATTAGATGTTTGAGAAATTTTGAATTTTTGGAAAAAATGACTTTTGGAAAAAAAACTTGGAAAATAGTGTTTTTATTATTTTGAAATATTTTGGAAATTTTGAACTTTTTTCAAAGCAATCGCACTGCTTTTACATGCATAGAGACGCGTAATTGAAGCGCGTAAACGCCGCGTCGTCGTCTAACGGGCAAACGATGTTACGATACACATTATTAAAATTTTCATAAAATATCTGATAATATGATGTGCGTATCATTTTTGACCTCAAAATGACCTTATTAATAAGAATTTATTGTTTTTTAACTTCCCGTAGGGCAAGTTATAGTAATCGCAAAAAAATCAAAAATGAAAATTTTTATATATCTTTACGTTTCAGAGGTTTCTGAATATTTTGGCATACCTTAGAAAAAATGGATGTATGTGTGTATGTGTGTGTGTGTGTGTGTGTGTGTGTGTGTGTGTATGTATGTACGTGTGTGTATGTAAGTGCGGATACAAATTTTCGTCGACGATTTCGGGAACACGGTTCAATGGATTTCAATTATTTAACTAGCTGTAAGTGAAATTCTGTCTTAAGGCAATTAAGGCATCGTGCCTTAAGGCAAATTGCTGGAACACACACACACATACATCCATTTTTTCTAAGGTTGTTACTATAACTTGCCCTACGAGAAGTTAATAATAACATGGAATTCTTTAATAATGAAAATTCAAAAGCAATAATAAATTATATTATTTGTCAAATTGTCTAATTGTTTTAATTTGGTAAAATAAATCATGCATAACTACATAAGCCTTTAATAAAAAACAAAATTTTTCTTACTTCTTCATTAAATTCACAGCTAAATTATCATCTCGATTAGTACATTTACTAGTTGGACTATTGTGTTTTGAACTTCTGGAATCTGTTGGAGTTTTTGGCACAGGTGCGGGACTCTTTTCAGCCTGTTTAAAAATAATATTAATATCTTCAAAAGTATAAATAAATATATTAGATAAAATCTAACAGGAGAATTAAATGGAGTATCTTTTATGTTCTCTTGATCAAATCTGCTGCTATTGAAAGAATCACAACTTTGAAAACTATCCTCTAAATTTGGGTGTTTTGGTTGGATGGAACCTTTCACACTCTTACTAGAAGCTCCAAACTTTTTTAATGGTTTACTTCTCTGGAAAAATATACAAGAAAAATTATGAAATTTTACAAGTGATTTTAATTACAAGTGATTTTGAATCTGTTTTATCACATTATAATATAAACCTTATTCAATAGAGCCATCATTCTATATTCTTCTAAATCATGTGCTGGAAATAGTGCTTCATGAACTTTGTACATTTGTTTCCTAGACATTTCAATCCATAAGACTGAGAGCAAAGGTATATTTTTTGCAATAGCTTTCTTGTATGTTGACACTCGACCCTCATTGAAAATAACATGAGTTACATCTTTTACAAAAGTATCACGTACTATAGCTCCCATTTTTTTTAACATATCTTTAGCTCCTCCAGATAAATCAAGTTGCCCACTACTTACTTCAACATATGCTATGACACCTAAAGATATACATTTGTATCATTAGTATAAAAATATATAAATAAACTAGCTGACCCGAGAAAAGTTGTTTGGCCATAAAAAATATTTTTAGCATAAAATGTTTAGTACGGAAATAATAGGTTAAAAATATGGTGCATAAGTAAAAGGAGCGGCTAAAAAAAAATAGTTGAATAGTTTATCCACTTCAAAGCATGCCACATATAAATGTCCCTTAATAGTCTTTGCAAAAGTCAACCTAATTTGAACCTGATTCTATTTGAATTGAATTGGCACATTCAATGTTTCAAGATTTTGATATATCATTACCATGCGTTTTATTAATTCAGTAATTTTTGAGACATAAATCAAAATCTGCTAATTCATTTTTAAATTATATTCTTATGTGGCATGCCTCAATGTATTTTTCAACTTCAAATTATAGAAAATTAAAATAAAGAAAATTGGTTCTAAAATTTTAAAAAAATATTGAGGGACAACCCTTGATAAAAATAAATAGTATTTTGTAGTAAAGTAATTGTATGCATTTTTCAATTCCGCATTAAAAAAATTGCAATACAAAAATTGACCTCATAATTGAAATAATGTGTTAGGATTAACCCTTAATAAAAATACATTGTTTTATTAAATTAACTCAAAAAAATCTTCACTAAAATCATGTCAAATAAGGGTCAAATTAAAACTAAAAAAAATTGAATCCAAAATTTAAAAAAATAGGGAGGTACAACTCTTGATAAAAATAGTATTTTGAAGTAAAGAGAGTTCTATGTATTTTTCCATTCCAAATTAAAGAAAATTAAAATGAAGAAAATTGGTCAAAAAATTTAAAAAAAAAGTTAGGCGTGGACAAATCTCGATGAAAATAAATAGTATTTTGAAGCAAAAAGAGTTGTAAGTATTTTTTAAATTCCGCATTAAAAAAAATTAAAATAAAAACAGCTAAACCTAAAAAAGTATTAGGATTGAACAACTCTTAATAATAATACATTGTATTTTGAAGGAAAATTTAAGCTTTTTCTTCCAGCTCAATAATCTGAACTAAAATTATGTCAAAAATATTCAATGACTGAATGCCGGATGTGAAATGATTGAATTGCTTAAAATGGCTATAAAAAAATAGGGGTTGGTGATAAATAAGGTAAAACCTATATAGTTTTTAATGCCACATTATAAAAAATAAAAACAATAATTTTTTTTTTTTTGTTACAATTTATTTTTGTTAATCAAGACTTTAATGTCTTATTTACAAAATTGATATGAGCAAAAAAAAAATACAAAAAAAACAAAAAATGCAATACATTGAATATAAAATGAAAAAAGTTAAATTAAAAATTAAATTAAAACAGTAATACAAAAATAATAACAAACAATAAAAATCCGTCTAAAAATTACAAAAAAAAATTAAGGGAGAACAACACCCCAATCACTTGGGAGTATAAAAAAAAAAGATAGTTACCTAAATATAGTAAGGTCTGACAATCGATCTACTGAATACGCATATAAAATTTGATAATAATCGATAAAGCCATTTTGGAGTATAGGTGACAAGAGAATTTTATATATATGATAAATTAAATTGAATAAAAACATTACCTATGAAAACCTCATGTAAATTTTTAACAGGCTTTGGTGCTAGTTCTCTCAATCTGCTCTCTTCATCATCGCTCTCTGATTCAGGTAAATTATGTAAACCATCTCTAATTGCTTGTAATCCTCTTATCCGGGCGGTAGCTGATGGACTATTCAAGTCTCTTATAATCTGACTTTTAGAAGGCTTATTGGTTAAAGAATATAAAATTGGCCTATCGTTAAGAGGTGAAGGCTGAAACCCCTTTTCATAGGGCAAAAGTGTTTTCTTCGGAGTAATAGTGTCTGTACTCCCAAACACAAACAATTCCGGAGAATCTGAATCCCTAATAACATTGTTGCTTATACTATTCTTAGTAGGAGTTTCGAAATTAAATATTGTTCTCCGGCGAGTTGATGAAGTAGCCATCATAAATTATAAATCTTTATTTTGTAATCAACTCAATCTTAACTTGATCTCGACTAGCTGAAATAGAGAGTACATTGCACAGTGATAATTTAAATTACTCAATACACTAAACTAACAACATTTTTAATTCAAAGCACATGATGATTTTTTTACAATTATAATCATAGTGATAGTAATATTGTTTATCACATTTTTCAACGACTTTGGATGTCAAAAACTTTTATGTTGGCATGCACTGGTTAGTTAAGTTACACGCACACTATAAATTTTACAATGTGACTATTTTATCGAAGAGCTTTTAAAAAAATGTCAAATACAATTGTATTAACATTTTTTACTATTACTTACGTATTTAATAGAATTTTACTAATTCAATAGAATTATATTAAATTAGCATTTATTTCATATGTCACTGCACATTTTTGATTTACTACACTTTGACAATCAAAAATTACTTGATTGTATTAAACACAATATCATCATTTTCAAAAAAATCTTCAGACTTTATAACACATTTTAATTTGATATAGAACAATTTACAAGCTAACTGCATTTTTTATTTGTCAGTTTCAATTTCTATTATAACATTATCTCTTTTTTTTCCCTTCAGCATCTATTAATTAATTTTGAAATATAATTTATTATTGATTTACTTATAAAAAATAATTCAAAGTTATTTGAATTTTAATAAAATGCCTAATACTTGTCATTTAATCGTTCAGACTATAGTCGCAAGTGTTGAAGTATGTAGGATTAACCCTAGTCCGATTTTGACATGTACAAAAATGTCATTATGACATTTTCCTTTACATACGTGTATTAGAATAATTCAATATTGTTAATTATTTATTTATGGAATCAATATTTTAAAAGTTTATTGTATGAAAGTAACATATATTTTATGAATTAAAAAAAATACAATGGCAACTGTTTTGACATCGTTTCATCCTAATAAGAAGCACAGTGATCGTGAAAGGTTAATAATAATTGTTAATAATAATTCATAATAACAATAATAGTAACCTGCAATATTTTTTTATGTCTCTGTATTTGTTTGCAGATGTCAATTTCAATAATTTGATTATTGAAATACAAAAATACTGCAATAGTAGTAATTTATTTCAAATATTTGTATGTCTATTATACTGATTCATATAATTATTTCAGATGGATCTGCATTTATCCTTCTTACATAAATAGTAAAAAGACCTTAGCAGAAGGCAGAAAAATTGCTAAAGAACATTGTGTAGAAAATCCTACGCATCAAGAAATTAGAGATGTTCTTGCGGCATCAAATTTGAGAGTGGGCGTAGAAAATAAATTGTATTCCAGAGAAAGAAGCAAGGTTTTTACATTATTCTTAAAGCTCTGACAAAAATAATTAAATATGGGTTAAGTAAGTTAATTTATTTGTTTAGGAGCTGCTGTATAGAGGAAGAATCAGAGTCCAATTACGCAATGATGATGGAACACCATTTAATCCAGAATTTCCAACTAGAGAAAGTATAATGGTACATTTAGGCAAAATGATTCCACAATTGAAATCGCGCCAGGGAAGAAGTTCTACTGAACAAACTCAACCCGTCCAGCAAACAACTAGCAATAAAGGGAAAGGAAAAGGCAAAGGAAGACGCTAAATATTTATCAACTAAATATTGCATTATTAAATTTTGTACAGATATTTTGCATATAATAAAATTTGGTTTATAAATAGAACAATAAATTATATTTATCGACATTCACATCAATTTGTTTAGTACAAACATTTTATAACATAACTTAATACTAAGAAAGCCAATTTATATAAATCACTAAGATCATACATACTTCATCATAAGTTATAATTTCCCATTCCATTTTGTTAATTTCAAGCGTAATAAAAATACTTTGCATCATCTGAGAGGTAATTAGAATAAAAAATAAGTTGTGTGCAGACAATATTCAGAGCATTTAAAAAAAAAAACTATTGAAAATATGCAAGCTTCCAATTTCAGCAAATATATTCAGGCACAAATTTGACATTAAAACAGTTTTAATGTGTACTGTGGAAGAGACAACAATTTCGGGCCTTTTATTTTGATAGATTTCGAATTACTAAGACGGATATTACAAAAAAGCCCTACTGAAATTTGTTTATGAAAATGGAGATATCTACTATTTACAAATAGAAGATTTGTTATTCTCAATAATTATAATCAAAATTAAACCATCAAATAAATTGCAAGCTTCAATATTGTATAAAAACATTTGCATAAAATATATATATATATATATATATATATATATATACATATATATCTAAAAGAATAAGAAACAAAAGACTGTTAAACAATTATATAAACAACTGTCTTTTACTTATTAATGTAGCATTTTAAAATTACCTTTAAATAATTAGCTGAGTTGAGAAGTCAAATGCATATTAATTAGAAAGTTTTTCTATGTACAGCTCTTTGGCCATCTTCATCATACTCTTTCTTAGAAACCCACATTTTCTTAAATGTATCTAATGAAGCTAAAATGGAACCTCCTATCCAGGTGGAATATAAACGCTCTTGTGGAGCAGAAATTTTAATCTTCATATCTTTTGGTACTTGTTTTCGAATTTCTGACAACAGTCTGTCACCAAAGCCTTTAAATAGAGTAGAACCACCTGATAAAACAATGTTTTGAAACAATACTTTCCTCAAATCTCGTTCAGCTTTTTCGATAGAATATAAAAGAACTTCATGCAATCCTTCACTTTCTTCACCGATTAGATCAGGTCTGAATAAAACTTCTGGAGCTCTAAATCTAGCTGGACCAATATCTAATGGATAACCATCAGGAAGAACATATTGAATTTTTTCTGTGTCTACACTTTCTTCCTTTTGAGGATTACTAGCTAAGTAGCAGGCTTTTTCTTTAATGCTGCGTACAATTTCAAACTCTGATGTTGTCCTGAAGTTCACACCTTCTTTTCTAAGAAGTAGTTTAAGATACTTAGTAACATCTCGGCCTGCCGTATCAATCCTCATAATATTATGAGGGAGTGCAAAGCCTTCATAGATAGGCACAGAATGTGTGACTCCATCACCTGAATCTAAAACGACACCCGTAGTTCTTCCAGTTGCATAAAGACTGAGAACAGCTTGCATAGACACAAACAAGGCGGGGACATTAAAAGTTTCAAAAAAAACTTCAGCAGATCTTTCTAAATTTTTACGAGGATTTAAAGGAGCCTCAGTTAACAAGACTGGATGCTCTTCAGAAAACGTTGATAACTGATCTTTACTATAAATGTACGACCATATCCTTTCCATGTCATTCCAATCTGTTACAATTCCGTGCTCCATGGGATACTTTATAGACAATAAACCTCGATGCTCCTCAGCCTTTGGCCCCACAAATAAGTCCCCTTCTAATGCACCAGCCATCACTCTTACATGTTTTGGTCGTCCAATGTAATTTGGAAATCGGCATTTTGGGGTTTGGTCACCAGCAAAACCAGCTTTAATCACACCGGAGCCATTATCTATCACGACGGGCTGGTTGACCATAACATCATAAGGCTCCATGGTGAATTCAAATCAATCTAACGACACTGATAAAATACAAAATGAAAAAATATAATACAAAGTGAATGACCAAATTTGTATCAATTATTTTGACAGCTCTCCAGAGAAGTTCTTACATCATGAGTCATAGAAAGTTATCGTGTTGTCATGTTGGCAGCGTTTTTGAAATAAATATTTACGGCTGTATAAATAAATTTTAACTTAACGTATTTTTCGTTTTATAGAATTAGATTTTAGATTATTTAATTTTTTTGGTTGTAGTTTAAACTTAGTCTTGAGATTTTTTTTTCGTATTATAATGGTATTATTCTCGCAATTCAACTCAATACAATTGCCATTGTATTATTGAAATAAAAACATCACAGATAACATTTAAATTAAACTGGTAGGACGAATGGCATCGTGTCTTAAGGCAAATTGCTGGAACTTTCCGTGCCGTAATTAAACATTCGAAGAATAAAAATAATCAGTCAACAAAAATGTCTATGAATAAATATTATAAAAACTAGAATTTTCATTATTTGTACCTTGTGAATAAAATGTGAAAACTTATTAGATTAAACGACGTTGTTTATATATGTTTGAATGAAATAAAAATAAACAAAATCTAATTAAGCGGACTTATTATTAGAATAAATATATTTTATTTCAAATGCATCAATTTTTCGTTCGCGAAATATATGCACTGAGTTAACAATTTTAAATAGTTCCTGTAGTATTAACTATACAAAAATAAAAAAAAATTAATTTTTTTTTTAAAAAACATAGTGTGAGTAGATTTATGTCTTGAGACATGCTGCAAGAACTTTCCGAGATGTGTCAATCGTCTCATAAAACTATCCAATGCGAGTTCTTTTCAAATTTTATCAGATGGCTTTTAAATTTTTGAAATTGGTTCAGTATGATCTTTATCATCATGAAAAGTTTTATCTTTTAGACTAAAATAAATGAACATAATAATAAAATGAAATTTGTTAAAAAATTAAATGTTAAAATTTGGTATCACAGTCATCAATAGGATGAGCACGTATTTTCTAACATTCTTGAAATATGAAACACATATTTATAGTTATTAAAATGAAAATATTTATTTCAATTTTAAAATAATTTAATAAACTTATGAATGTGTATTACAAATTATTTTATTTGTTATCAAAAGTTTCTGAATTAGGAGACATCCCCGATTAGGAGATATCACCTAAACATTGCAAATTGCAAATTATTTTATTGCATAAAATAATTGCAAATTTAAATAATTTGTTTGTCAAAATGCGACTTTCTTATCTACTAACGCGAACGGTGAAGAGTCAACCAACTGAGCTATAACGAGATTCTCACGCACAAAACTAATCAGCACGTCTCCTTATCAATACGAATCAAATGTTTTTTTTTTAGATTATTCAAATCGGTTGATCCGTGTTCCCGAAATCGTCGACAAATATTTGTATCCGCATACACACACACATACATACATTCTAGATCCTCACCCCACGAAGTAATGCAAAAGGGCAAAGCGGAGAATTTAGTCGGTATTATACCAGAGCGGTATTGAGTCCGACATACCCAGACAAAACACCATCAGTCACTACACAAAAAAACACATACATCCATTTTTTCTAAGGTATGCCAAAATATTCAGAAACCTTTGAAATGTAAAGATATATAAAAATTTTCATTTTCGATTTTTTGCAATTACTATAACTTACCCTACGGTAAGTTAATAACCATTATGATAAATATCATTAATATAATTTCTTACAAAATTAGCAGCCATTACAATTGCCATTATATTGTTGAAATAAAACTATCACAGATAATATTTGAATCAAGTCAACTACTATATTATTTTATTGACTCATAATTAAGTTTTTATGATCTACATAACATATGAATCGCTATAATGAGCATACATTTTACATAACATGAAAAACGAGTCTTTCTGTAGACTAATACCATTTCTGCTCATTTTCAATATTTTCAAGAGATTTGAGAATTTCTTCTTTCGACATTATTTGCGTCGGAAGTTTCGATATTTTAACCTGGTAATAAATATTTCCATCTACTCCATTATAAATTGCGGAATCGTCATTTCGGAATGCAACATTTTCTACCATTTTATTTTTGGTTTCAACGTCAACTTCATATATTGTTCCAGTACTAGTATCGAGTTTATAAATTATAAAATCCTCTAAGTTTTCATCTAAATTCGTATCATGCTGTGAACTGTAATCATCAGTACTGAAAATACTTGATTCCATTTCTTTATCAGAGTCTGTATCAGATCCATAATCTTTAGTAAAATGGTAAGAATGCTCTTGTGATATACTACGATTTTTATTGATAGTGTCAGTCATGGATAGGTTTGTTTCGGAAACACATTGATTTTTATGATTTAATAATGCAAGTTCTTCATTTTCTTGACGCACAAATATATATATAGTATTTCCTAACTCAACAGTAACAATATCTTTGGCTGCACTTACATCAACTTGGGAAACAATAATATTTTCTACAGGCTCTGTGTAGGCTGGATTCTCAACTATTTCGTTCTGATTTTCATCAGTTTGCACTTCATTTGTAAGATATTTCGTAAACTCATGTTTTCGTCTATTCAAGCCATTATCAACTTCAACCAATTTTGTATCTTCATGCGTTTTATTATATTCGTCCATTTCTTCAAAAAACTCCTGCACTTCGTCACTATTTAACAGATCAGATATATCCAAATCGTGTATTTTTGAAAACACATCAACTAGATTATCCATTTTTGATTCAAGCTGTTAAATATTAATTATAATTCTTAATATTTAATAAAAAAATAAAAAACAAATGACTGTTGATTGAATCTTACTTGTTAAGAAATATGCAATATGGCCACCAAACATATGCAAAAATAATTGTCTATTAAATCAACTTGAATATTTGTTGTATTCATATAAAATTTAACATTTCATGCAATTTTTCATTAACCCATTTTTTAAACATTTGATATATAGAGTATTTTACTATTGCAAGCCATAAAGCGCCCAAAACTTAATAAACATTTATTAACATTAATTTGATAAACTAAAATCACGTATTAAACTCACAACTATCTTCAGTATGCACCATACAGTAGAAAGGTCTCAAACTTTTTAGTGTATTTAATATAATTATTAAAAACACTGGGCAATATAAAGACACCTTTTTTCACATAATTGTAACTATTTAAAGAAAACATTCATTGCGAACTACAAATCTTGATTTAAGAATTAGAAATTGAATGTGTGATTAGAGTTGTTACCCTGAAAAGTTCGAATCTAACTTCATGTAAAACATGGCGGAAGTACCAGAAACAACTTTAATAAATATATATATATAATCATTATAGTTAGTAAGCCCATAAAAATACTGAATTACATATTATAATAGGTTTATGTGTTATATTAGATATAAAAATGTATACCATTTACAAAATTAAATGACTACGACAAATGAGGAAAACACGGTTGGCAACTAGAGAAAAAATAAAAATCGAATTCAAAAAAATTAAAGGGTAATCTTCTATATATATAAAAATAAGTCGGGTTTTCCTTCCTGACGAAATAACTCCAGAACGCACGAACCGATTTCGACAATTTTGCATTCTTCAAGGTTTGTAGCTAAGAAAATTAGTGGTGCATGGCATCGTGCCCTAATGCAAATTGCTGGAACTTCACGCACCGTAATTAAAAATTTGAGTAATAAATATAATCAATAATTGTTTTAAATAATTACAAATAGATTATCTTCTATATATATAAAAATAAGTCGGGTTTTCCTTCCTGACGAAATTTTTCCTTTTCAAATATAAAACAAACAAAAATTTTCTTCATCTTTCTCACGAAACCATCTGGTGGCGAAACGGAGTTCGTCGGGTTTGCTAGTATAACTATAAAATAGAAGTATGGACAAATATTTTATAGTTAATTAATAAAAAATATATAAATAAAATAACTCAATAATTATGCACGACTTTTATATAAAAAATTAATAACAGGTGAATTTGTTAAATGCAAATAAGCATTAGTATATATATATATAAATTTATATATTTAAATAATAAAATATAATATATAAATATTTAAATATTAGATAGTAGAGTCTTATTTAAGCAAATATTTTGTAGAATTTCGAACAGAAAATCCAAAGGTAAAAAAAAAACAAAAAGTTTTTTAAAGCATTTTTTTTATTTATTGTCGACGTTGCAGAACTAAGTAACTTTTAAACATTTGTCAATAAACATGTTCTTGATTAGATTTAAATAAACAATATACTTAAGAAAAACATAAATTGGTGCATATCTTTACGTTTCGGTGATTTCTGAACATTTTTTTAAACAGGCCTTAGAAAAAAATATATGTGTGTGTATATGTATGTATGTACGTGGGTGTGTGTATGCTTGTGCGGATACAATTTTTCGTCGACGTTTTTAGGGGTACCGCTCAACCGCTTTGAATTATTTAAAAAGCCTTCGATTCCCATGGATAATGAGACGGGTTTGTTAATTTTTCGCAAAAGTTGGTCCAGTCATTTCAGAGATACGGAGCAAAAAGTGCAGAAAAAGGAAATTAAGGTATAATTTAATAAATAATAATTTAAAAAACATTCCACTTGTAATGACGTAATGAAGAATTGATTAGGTTTTTTTAAAGGCAGGTCTAGCGGTTTCGTACATTAAGAAAAAAATTATTAAAAAATGCCATTTGGCGGTAAAAAATCAGATATATTTTGTAATTTGAATCAACCGATATGAATGAGAAATGAGAAAAAATTTTGTAAGTTTTCAGTATTTTCTAAAAAGTAATATGTTGAATTTTATGGCATATATATTCAAAATTTTCAAATATTTTAAATTTTCAAAAATATTCCAAAAAAATTCAAAACTTTCAAAAAAATATCTAATACTTGTTTTCTGAGCATCTAAAAATTTTAAATCACTGTACAGGAAGTTCCAGTAATTTGCCTTAAGGTACATTATTACCTTTAGAATCTTTTGTTCTATTCTATTCTATAAATTTTTATATTAAGAAAGATATAATGGTATATTCTCTTCTTCAGCAATGGTAGCATCTGCA